TCTTATTGATTGGCACGATGTTGGACACTTGTTCTACATATCATGCCACCTAGATGCACTTTACCTTCAAGAGGCTTTCAATCTCCTCATTCACTAACAAAGTTACTTCTTGGGACATCAACTTTGGGGCTTACTTAATCGGCTTGTATCTTTCCCTTAACGGTAGTCGATACCAATGTCGGGTCTAGCCTTGGCATTTCTTCATAACTCCAGGCGAAATAGTCGCACTATTCTCTGAACAGATGTATAAGTCATGCTTGGAAATTCGACTCTAGTAGCTTGTTGACACAGGTTGGTCGATGCTCCCCCAGCCCAACAAGGTTAACTTCAAGCAATGGGTCTTGAACTCCACCAAGTCATCAAGCTTAGTAAGGGCTGCATCGATTTCATCTAATTTGATGAACTCTCGTGAGGTGATCTATTTAGATTCATCCTTCTCACATTCCATCATGTTAATGGTGCTTTGTTGACTACTAGCTGCGTGTAGTGTGGCGACCTTTTTTCTGTCAGGTAAGCTCTTATCTTGGTGATGCAGGCCCTTATAGCCTACCTCATTTGTTTATTGTTGTTGAGCTCATTCTTCAATCGATTTTTCAAGTTCTTTCGTGGCATTAAGCTTTTGAACATTAGTGGGCCGAAGAACCTCGTCCTCCATCTGACGAATCTCATTAGACCTTAAGTTAGTCTAAAACACAACTTTACTTGGCTTTCTATATTTATCCTAGCCTTGAAACTTTATTGGTTTTATACCTTCGTCATAGAGCCAAGCATCGACCACGTGAACATCTGTCACAAATGGCATTTGGTTTGCTTCCACCACTTCAAAATCTCCTAGACTCCATAGCACCTAATGTTGATGGAGAGTTGATGGAATGTATTCACTAAAATGGATCCAGTCCTAACCTAAGAGAGCATTATAGGATGTTGTTGTGTCAACCACAACGAACAGAGTAATGTTGGTCTTGCTACTAACAACTAAATCGACGGGTAGGACTCCCATCATCTTGTTGACTCCTTCTATGAACCCAATCACCATTAGATTGGTGTGTATTAGGTCCTCTTATTTCCTCCCAAGTTTATTCATAGTCGCTATGGGAAAAATGTTGACAGTTGCTCCATTATCCACCATGACCCTGTTGAAAGGTTTTCCCTCAAGTGTGTTCGAATGTATAATGGCTTCAAATGTTGCATCATGGGCTGCGTAGGCCTTGCAAGTCTCCGGAGGGATGTTGAGTACGATCCTCATTCGTTTCACCAATCTTTTCACCATTCATTCCTTAAAACTTTCCTTGAGTGAGGGCTCAGGCTCTAACTTCTTTTTCCCTTTCTCCTCAGTTGTGGCCTTTTTTCAAGGCCACTAGACACTGCGAAAGTGGGGATATACCAATTCAGGATCAAATCTCCCCAATTTCAGGCTCTTGTCTTTGGAATGTCTTCCAGACCTACTGAGCTTGAATTTTCTCTTCTCTTCCCACTTACAAAACTCCTCCTATATATGCTGCTTCTTGCACTTCTATGATCTTGATAGCGGTGAGAATTTTGGATTCTAGGCTATGTACCAATGGCCTTAAACAACTCAGTTTCTCTCACCATCCTTGGGTGATTCTAATAAACTTAAGCTATGATAGGTTGATCAGGTGCCAACCTTGTGGCATACTACTCGTACTTCAGTCCTAGCCGACCCCTTAAAGGCTCTGGTATATCTTTTCCATGCATCTATAGCTCAGCCTCATAAACTTGCCTAACTGATCCTCTTTACCTTGCTTAGGCAATGGCCACTCACCCGACCGTTTATAGTGGGTTCCCTTGTAATGCCATTTCTTTGGTGGTTTCTTGGACGATTTAGTTCGATCCTCCTTAATAACTTCATGATTCAGAACAATCCTATAAAAAGTTTTACACCTAGGACATAGACCGTTCTTGACCATGTCAAGCTGCTCCTAGATTCCCAATTATATGTGTGGCTCAATCCTGGAGCCCTCTAATGCCTTATCCAATGGCACATCATCTTTCTTCCCCTTCATCTTTTTGTCATCCGTTGACCCATACTCACCCAAGTCAATTTTTTTCTTGAGGGTTTCTGATTGTCCTACTTCGACCATGCTAGTTGAGGTTGTCTTCTAAAAAAAGTCCTCATCAACCCCAATTTCCATTTTTTTCTTGTCTCTGAAGATTAAGTGGCACTTAGTCAAATTCTACTGAATGGAGTCCTGAACACCACAAAGTTCGCCGTAGAAGGACTCCACAAATGGTGTCATTTATAATATGTCTTATTCTTTAGTTCTGCGGTTGATGGAATCTTATGATCAAATGACATCTTGATATTGCAGTCAGTAAGCAGATGGTCAAAAATTTGATTGACCTTTGACATGTTGAACTCATACTTCTGGCCGCTTTCGTCGCTAGTGCCTTTATTAACACTCGGCGTGGCTTGTGCTTGATTCTTTGGAAGCTTAATTAAAGCCTAACACACGTGCAATCATCTTGCCACAATCTTAGCCATGTGCACCTTCAGCTTCTACTCTGGCTCGACCATAAATATCTCAGTGTTGGGATCTCTATAGTACGTTCTTTTGGGCGCGTTTCTTCAGTCCATCTCTTTGTGCAGGATATGCTCATATCGCGTAGCTCGCGGGGTGTCGCACCCCAAAACCATTGTGGAAGACATTACTATCTATAAATCATTCATTCCATGAGAGAAAATAATATATCCATAAATAAAAAGAAGAAATACATTCATCATCCATAATCACTAAGCATAGTCCAAAGTAAATATGTCAAACCTTGGCAATTGCATCCAAAAATTGATTATAACATTATTCCCAACACAAACTAACTAAAGGATCTTTAAATAACCAACACAATCCCAAAAATAAGAAATCAAAACCTTCAATTACATTCTCAAACCAAATAAAAATTTGTAGTGGAATAAACTAAAAAAATTGTCCTTCACTTTGTCTCGAAATAAACTTGCAAAGCTAAACCATAAAAGAATAGCTCTAGACATCCACTTCGGCATCTATATCCCCCTCAATTTGGGCTTCCCAACCACCTATTCATCCAATCCAAGGTCTTCTTCTAGACCAAAATCTGAAAAATGTTAGTAGTAGGGGGTGAGCATTGAGCTCCTCAGCTACATTCTCTCAAAATCTTGAACAATGTTTTAGAACATATAAAAGCAGGTTAGTCTCCATTAACAAAATAACATATATAATATTTGAAGCAAAAATAAGACATTTACAAGATCCCAATTTTATGTAACACAATAAAACAGATAGGAAGTCAACCCAATTTTCAATCAGTAAACAATATCAACAATGTATCTCATGCATGCAGGCTTGACTAGAATGAATCTACACAATGAGAATATCCTGTCCCACAAAACTCCACCTTCTCAACAAAACACTCCGCCAGGTAAAAAACTTTAGGAAGGGTGTATACCGATGCATCGACAGGGACGAACCCTTCATAAGATTATGGTATACCAACCGACTGCCGTGAGCGAATAGTGTTTTGCACTCCGCGAGGCACCAACCCACTACAAGTTATAGGAAACCACAGTAACCCTTAATCTTTGTACAATGTCTAGACACTCTACAATATTTGGTCAAAGGTAACCCACATGTATTAACCACCCATACAAGAGACAATATTCCAACCAATTCATCCAATCAAATGTAGTTTAGGAACCATAACCTCAAATAGACAATTTCAAGAAAACATACAAGAGATCATCAAAACATACTTTTATTGCTCGGAATCAAATTCTAGAATTTTAGAAATTGAGAACATGCGAATATCATGTGGAAAGCCTATATTTCTTGAACTCCGAGATTTTAATAATAAGAACGAAGGTTTCATGGCCATCAAACAATAATCTCATCCAAAAAATGATGCAATTTACAAGAGCAACAAGATTTAATAATTATCTATCATGTACACACTATTTAGAGATGAAAACATACATATATATTAACCCTAGCCTCAATGAATAGGTTTAGAAAAAAACCCCTACCTCAATCTGACGTTTAAAGGTAAAATTCCTACACTTTGATCCATTTCCTCCGCATAAATGCCAAATGGTGTTCGAAGGAATATTTTTGCATTCGAACATGACTTGCTTCTAGTATCTCATTTTTTGTCAGGATTTCTATCATACAGTAAAGTACTGGGACTAACTGGTGTTCGAACAAGATTTTAGCGTTCAAACGTGATTCCAGTTTCCTACTTCCACTCCCAGTCCAATTTTGACCTACTTAGAAGTCAATTCACAAACTCCTTATGAAACACACTTTTGTGTCTTTTGGGATCTAGTTTCTACTATAAAAATTTCAATTCAATCCAATCTCAAACTAACAAGTTATAGGTCAAATACAACCTCAACACCTAGAGTTTCTCTTCCTAACTAATGGTTTATAAATGCAACTCATATAACTTATTATTTATATAACTATAAACACGGGGTTTAACAACCCACCCCCTAAATCTTGCCTTGACCTTAGATCTCAACTTCTGCACTTGTTAGGTCAAACTGGCATAGTTTTTCTCAACCTCGATGAGCTTAGCTTTAGCAGTGGATAACTTAAGTTAGGCCTCAAACATTCTCTTTTTTCTCTCCTGGATGAGTTGGATGATTTGCTGGTCTTGAGATAAGAGGCGTTTATCTTGATAGTTGATGTCTTCTTTCAATTTTTGGCACTCCTTAATGGCCTTATCATTCGCTAAACGACAGAACCAAATTCGATCGACAATGGACATTTACTATGTTGACTAAAATAACACGATTAGTCACAAAGGGAATGGAAAAATTGGGTAAGGACTAAGATACACACCACCAATGAGTTTTAGATCACCCTCTACATTAGGCCATTGTTAGGGTGGTCTTGGTGCTACTCCATTACAACTTCAAAATGCAAGGCATTCCTAACAACATAAGATACATCCAAGGAGTTGAGGATGGAGTCGGAGCACATCACCACCTTTATTTTCCTCGTAGTGGCCTAGGGATTCCATTCCAGACCCACTTGGGGAGTAGGAGCTTGTTGGGATGGACGAACATCTAGGAGTTGGTCCTCGGGTTGAGGAGTAGTGACCCGAGGAAAGGAGGCCTGAGGAGGGCTGATCCTAGTTTTTGGATCATGACGAACCTTCATTCTCCTTTCTTGTTTAGTACCTTCTATAGGACGGATGTCCCTTTGTTCCCTAGGAGTAAGTGCAAGTGGAATTTGAGACCTTGAGGAGCAGGTCCCTAAAAAAGATGTTACATATACACTAAGGGCTATTGAATGGATGAGCCATCATTGATTGATTCAAGGCTGGGTAAAGTGATGCATCATTGATGGTTCATGGCTACCTCTAAGGGGCTTGGTTCGTCAAGGGTTTGGAGGATATGAAGATCAGGCCCCACTTCCCAATTGAAAATGCTCGGTTCAAAATCAAGTTTAAAAACATTGCGGGGCCTCTCTAATTTTTCTTTAGTGGCCTGATCAAGATCCTGTTTAAGATTTCCCCAGCTTCAATGCCCTAGGCTGTTGGATTGAAATCTTCTAGGATTTGAGAAAATTTATTGTAACCGAGATTGTATTTCTACAACATGTGCCTCGCTCAGCTGAGACTGTCAAATCCAGAGAAGCCCTAAACTTAGAGGATAACATCAAAGTGAACGTCACACCAACGAGATTGCATGACTTCACTTTCACCAATTTCTACATAGAAATGAAGAATAAGCCACAAGAAAAGCAAAAGCATAAGGGAGAACTCAACACTATAAATGGAGCATAATTACTTGTAGCCCTCCATAGTTTGGGATGCCATAGGCCAGCGTATTCGGGCCCATTACCTCACTCTCATTGTCCCCCGACTACCACTAAGTCTTGCAAATACCCTCTATCAGAGTCAGATAAGTGAGTGGCAAGGTACATAGAAGGGTCCCAAACCTTAAGATAGTACTAGTTGGAGGGGTTTTTGACGAGGGTGTAACAAAAAAGAACCTCAGTCTGGTTGAGGTTGATTTGGAGCTGAGCATTTAGTGGCACGACTCCCATGATGATTTTGAAGGTATTAAGACTAAATTGGTCAAGGAATAGCTGAAAATGCATTAAGAAACAAAGAAGAAAATGGTAAAGATGGAATCTGATTCTCCCATCAGCGATTATCATAGTATAGAAGGGCATTAGTTTGACCAAGACCATCGTATCACTGTGGGTAAGGGGGTCGATTTTGGACATAGTAACACCGAAGGGAACCGAGTAATAGGCTTTGAAATTGGTCACCTATTGAATCCCCTTCACCTAATATTTCCTCATCCTGGATGCTTGAGATCTATTAATGTTGGGGGTAATAGTTCTACAAGTGTTAGCCATTAGGGTTCTAATGGAGAAGGTGAAAAAAAGAAGAAGAAAAAGAGGGGAGAGCCAAAAGTAAGAAAAAAGACCTTAAATTAAAAGACAAAAAGGACTTATAGGTTCGCTGAAAGGACTTAAAAACATTGTGCTTCACTTTGTCTCAAAATAAACTTGCAAAGCTAAACCATAAAAGAATAACTCTAGGCATCCACTTTAGCATTTGTATCCCCTTCAATCTAGGCTTTCCAACCCAGTTGATCATCCAATCCAAGGTATTCCTCCAGATCAAAAATTGAAAAATATTTGCAATAGAGGATGAGTGCTGAGCTTTGTAGTAACATTCTTCCAAAATCTCAAACAAATTTTTAGAACATATAAAAGCAGGTTGGTCTCCATTTACAAAATAACATATGTAATATTTAAAGGAAAACAAGGACATTTATAAGATCTCAAGTTTACGTAACACAATAAAATAGATAGGAAGTCAACCCAACTTTAAATTAGTAAACAATATCAATAATGTATCTCATACATACAAGCTTGACTAGAGTGAATCTACACAATGAGAATATACTATCCCATAAAACTCCACCTTGTCAACAATACAACCCACAAGACAAAACAATATAGGAAGGGCGTATACCGATAGTATACCAACCCTTAGCCTCGATTGCCATGATTGAAGAGTGTTTGACACTTTGCGAGGAACCATCCCACTATGAGTCATAGGAAATCCCACAAGATCCTCTACAATGTTTAAACACTCTACGATATCCAATCAAAGGTAAACCACACGCATCAACCACCCGTATAAGAGATAATTGATTAGTGCTTAAAGTTAGCATTTTACTATGCCTTTTTGGGACTAATTGTGCTTTGATGGAGTTTAAGTAATGACATTTCAAGTCCTAAAGTGAACAAGAGCTCAATGATAACAAATATCACACTTGGATGTAACACTAGTGAATTAAGGGACAAAACTGGAAAAGCTTGGCACAAAGCAATAACATTCGAACATGGATCAACGTTCGAACGTTCCCCTGAAGTGATTGAGGACCAGGCTGTTGAGACATGACGTGTTGCAGTCAAAAAGAAAAATGTTGAGGTACTTGAGTATCATGTTTGAACACCCACTCATGTTCGAACATGCTCTGGAATCCTGATAAGACTAGACTACTGAGACTTTCTGGCGTGTTGCAGCAAAGAAAGAAGAACCACAGAAGTACTTGAGTATAATGTTCGAACGCCACTCAATGTTCGAACGTTGTCTTGAGTTACTAAGGACCAAGTATCTGAGTGCAGGGTCAAAGTTGTTCACGACGTATGGAAAGTAACCATCACAGAGACCACATGCCACTTGAGTTGGGGGTTCAAACCCCATCTAGCGTTCGAACAACCTTAAAGCAAAGACAGAGACAATGTTCGAACGACATATAACTTTTGAACGCCCCTAAAGAAAAAATAGACACAATGTTTGAACGACAGATCACATTTGAACGTCCCCCACTAACTGGCTGCAAAGTTGTTGGCTTTGCACTTGGACTTGGGCGACAAACACTATTCCTTCACCCCCCTCCCCTTCCTTGCCTATAAATACTCCCCTTAAGGGAGCTTCATGGGCAACCCTTTCTCTTGTAGAGTAGACAATTAGTTTGTATATTTCTTGTTTATGTTTTCATTTTGCATTTGTATCAACTATGATGGAGGCTAAGACTCCCCTTGTAGTTGAAGTATTTTATTTACTTGTGCCAAGTTTTTACATTTATGTTGTGACAACCATGATGGAGGCTTAGACTCCCCTTATAGTTGTACTTACTTTTATTTACAAATATCAAGAGAGATAGCTCATCTTTTGATTGTGGTTGAAACCCTCCAAAAGTAACTAGCTTTCTTCTAGTTTTTTTATTTCTTTCACTTTCATTGCTTGGGCTTCTTTCTTCCTTAGAAGAGTGAAATTCTTCTACTTTTCTAGAGCTTTACCAAAAGCCGTGAAGGGTGGAACGTGATTCACTTATTTTTTGGTAAAGATCGGCTCTTCACTTATTGTATTTTACTTTGTAAGTTCTCTACTTGGAGGGATTAGTATCACTCACTTTTCTAGCTTTACTCAAACCATGAAAAGTGAGTAGTTCCTCATTCACTCTTTAGTAAGAGATGATGAACATGTATTTGTTATCCAGAAGCTATACTAGTGCATTTCCTTTATGCTTTAATATTTTATATTTTATTTAGTGAAGGATTGAATGCATCTAGTAAAGCTAAGGTACTTTGTCTAATTATGAGTTCTTTCTATATCACGGATGACTCTTGCATGGAAAAACTTGTTGGTTTAAGGCAAACACCTAGGTTAGATCTTCATGACACATTTCAATATTTATTATTCTCGTGCTTTATCTAAAGAATGGAACATTAATGCCATGGTTGGATGCCTTGCATAAACACTTGCTTGTTTGTAGATGGGTTAAATCTCAGCACAGACAATTCTTGTTCACTTCTAGAAAGGCATCAGAATCATGTGCTTAACTCTCATAGTCCATCTTTATCTTCCGATTAACTTGTTGTTGACACGGGAATTAATTGAGTTATAAAACACAAGTATAATAAACCGGATGGTTAACTACATATTCTGATCCTCAAGCTAAAGGGTGACTGTTTTACATTTGAATTTATCTTATATTTTGTCTAGAAAACTCTTGAAAAGAACCTTCTATTCTATTCAAGAACTCTCACCACTTCAAACTCTCAAAGTTTCTAGTTATTTGGTCTCTATTATTTCTTACTTCAAAACACCAATCATAGTTCCCTGTGGATTCGACTCCGGACTTAACCGGATTATTACTATAACTTGACCACCTGCATTTGGGTGTACACATTTCGGATCAAGTCAATAATATTCCAACCAATTCATCCAATCACAAGCAGTTTAGAAACCATAACCTCACAAGTGTTTTCAAATAAACAATTTCAAGAAAACACACAAATACGTTTATTATTCAGAATCAGATTCTAGATGTTTAGAAGTTGAGAGCACGCGAATATCATGTGAAAAACCTATATTTCTTGAAAGCTAAGGTTTTGATAATAAGAAAAAATGTTTCATGGCCATCAAACAATAATCTTATCCAAAATATGATGCAATTTACAAGGGAAAGAAGATTTAATAATTATCTATCATATTCATATGATTTAGAGATGAAAACACACACACACACATACAGACATATATTAACCCTAGCCTCAATGAACAAGTTTAGGAAGACACCTCTACCTCAATATGATGTTTAATTAAAAGTGAAATTCCTACACTTTGATCTGTTTCCTCTACATAAATACCTTTGAATTCTTGTATTTTATCCTACTCGCTCACTTTCTAAGGTTTTCTAGGGTTTAGAACTGATAACTTATGACTATGAGGCATCATTTAGTATTTATAGGTTTAGTCTCTAATTAGTTTACACGAGTCTAATCACTGCTGCAACTGTCATCGTGTTTGAACGTGGCTTTGGTGTTCAAATGTCGCTTTGAACGTGTTTTGCGTTCGAACGTGACTCACTCCTAGTATCTCAATTTTCGTCAGAATTTCTGTCAGAAACCAAAGTATTATAACCAAGTGGAATTCAAACATGACTTGCTCCTAATATCTCCTTTTTTGTCAAAATTTTTGTTAGACAACTAAGTATTGGGACTAGTGGCGTTCGAACTGGATTTTAGCATTCGAACGTGATTCCAATTTTTTGCTTCAACTCCCAATCTAGTTTTGACCTACTTAGAATTTGATTCACGAACTCCTATCACACTTTTGTGTCTCTAGGGATTTAGTTTCTACTACAAAAATTTCAATTCAATCCAATCTCAAACTAACAAGTTATAGGTCAAATACCACCTCAAACCTAGTTTCTCTCTT